TCCAATGCTAGTTAGTTTCATCAAAAAGTCATCCACGAAGGCTAGTTTGTTCCAATGCTCGATCCAGTAGTTCTCTTGTCTTCCATGATGGGTTCAAACTTATAGGGCGACCTGGTTGAGCATAATCTAAAGATTGGGGACTTATTCTTTGCCGGTTATTAAATAAAACACTTAAAAATATATTGTTTTGCTAAAAAAAAAAATCAGAGAATTCTTTGTTAGTGAGAGAAGAGAGAAAATTAAATTTGATTTATAAATGACATTTTTAAGTATTCTAATACATATTTATACTGTCTGTTCATATCAAGCAAAATATACTCTTCTTATCTAAAGCAAACAAAAATGATTCCATTAATAGTCACGCAATGTTACGTAATTATCATCATAAGTCTATTCTTAGTATCTCTGGTAATTCTTGAAGATGGAACTCGGAAATGAAAGCCCTCCGCGGGTGTCAGGCTTTCCATACTGCCCGCCGACGGTTGAATAGCTGAGCAATAGCCCCATAATTAGCTCCTTTGTCTGCGGGAAGGATAGCTTTTCTCTGACATTAAGTCTTTAGAATAACAGGAGGAAGCAACATTAAATTGTGGTTTCGGAGAGGTGAAATCCGTTATAAACCGCTCGTTTTTTGTGTTTTTTTAAGTTATTTTAACGGGAGAAGTTTCTTTTTGGAAGAGATCGTGCCTATAACTCTTTTCTTCTTTCAGATTGATGGCCATTAAAGTTCAAATTGAGATTTTGTTTCGTAGGTTTAAACTTTTTCTTCTTGGAATCGTGGTGGATAGTTCGAAAATTGTTTTTACAAACTGAGTAAGTTCAGAGCGGGTAATCTGTTTCTAATAGATATATAGTAGAGATGAGTTCTGACTCATTTATGGAGGATCAAGCCCAAAGATTTTTAAACCGAGCCTGAGATACATAGGATAACTTTAAATAACTTTAGGATAAGTTTTAAAGTGTTTTGGTCTGCTAATGAACAAAAGTTCAAGTATGTCTAATAATGGAGAGGGGAAAAAATCAAAATTTTCGTCAAAATTACCGATTTTCACCCAGTTGGGTACTTTCAAGAAGTTGAATATAGCTATGGTTCGGAATTAAGAATTCAACTACAAGAAGAATTCGCCAGTTTTGGTAATTATGTAAGAAACTGTGGTTGGCAAAAATAATTCCAACAAGCCATCTTCTGAAGAAGTTGGATTAAGTTTATTAGAGCGTGGAATTCAAGTACTATTAAATTTTAAAAAGAATTCACTTAAAAATTGCATTTAACTTAGAAATGCAAAATATAAACACTATAATAGCTTCGAAATTTAATTGGTTTCTAAACGTCATTTAGAGTTAAAGTTAAGTTGTTTAAGTCTTAATTTGGCTTAGTTATCTAGGTTTAACTTAATTAGGTTTAACTTAACTGTAGCTTAGTATTCTGTGACCTAATCTAGCCAAGAGCTAAGCGTTTTACGCATCCCATAAATAGTTGTTAACAGTTAATGTTAAAAATAGCTATAGAAAACATGTGTTAGATAGCTCATTGGAATAGATTTATATTGTTACAAAAATAACAATCATAATTTTTTTGATAATATCGAAAAAAAGTATCGGTACTATTGAACGTAGGTGTCGATACCAACCGTCACTATCGGAAAGATGTGTCAGTTCCAATTCGAAAAGTCGAATAGTGTCAGAAAGAAGTATCTTATTTTTCTATAGGGTATAATATACGATCATAAAAAAAGAAGAGGTATAGAAGAAGTATAATATACATATGTATATTATATACATATGCAGAAGTATAATAACAGAAGTATTATAAGAAGTATAATATACATATACAGAAGTATAATATAGATATGAAGAAGTATAATATACGAACATAAAATAAAGAGGTATTTTTTGTTAATTTTTTTCCAACATATAAAATTCTGAATTTAAATAATTCAGAAAAAAACTTGAAAAATTACTATAAGGAGAACAAGTTTTAATCTTTAAATGCATTAATAATAAGCTATAATGTGTTCAAAAATTTCAAACAAGTATCAAAATTGATTGCATAAATTAAGTCGAAGAAATGGAATTTATATTTTAAACGAGCAAAAAATAATAATTATATATTTTTTAAAATATGTACGTATACACAGCATACCCTACAATCGCCCTGTTCTTCGAATTCTTTTTAGACTTACTGACAAAAGGGAAGTAAACAAAACATATTCATTGATGACATCGTAAGCGAATATTTAGGCGAGATGAAACCAAAAGCACTATAGAGCTTTAACGAATCACTAGTACTGAAAACGGGATAAAAGGCATCAAAACCAGTTTTTTCGGGGGGGGGGAAGATTATTAGTATGACTTATAAAACCTGTTTATAGAAAAGAAAATCATACATAAATTATTTGAAGCAAAATCTTAAAATTATTTAGATGGACGGTTAAAAATTCTTTGTAATTCTATTAGTGAAATTGAAATTAATTTTCTTTTTGACGAAAGTTATCTACGCAATCTCAAATTTGCTTAAAATATCCAATGATAAAAAAATATCCAATAATGAAAAAAAAATTTTAAAATAATATTTTAAAGGACAAAAATATTTATAATTTAATTTCTATCCATTTGAGCAGTCTATTATTGTGTTTTACTGTAAAATATTATAAAAATTTAAAAATATACAACACACTGATAAACAAAGATCGTAAAAATCAATGAATACAAATTANGCACTTCATATATATATATATATATAGCACTTCATATATATATATATATATTACATATATATATTACATATATCTTTAACAAAATAAAATGATTCTATAAACAGTTTTTAAACATAACTCTAGATGTCAGCACTTCATAAATTTTATTTTCTTCTTCGTAAGACGAAGTTTAAAACGAGAAACATATTTATGGTGCTGCCATCTATTAGAAATAATAATGCATGTCTTAAATTAATATGATTTCATTTATAAATTATATTTAATAACAATTATAAAATTAAAAATAATACCTTTCAAATACTTTTAGTGTTTTTTTTGGTAAAGAATAGTATTTATCCTAAGTCGGCATCATTCAAGTTTAAATTAGCAATCGCCCCACGATTGACATTATCAATATAACTAAACTATTCCAAACTTTTATTTTTATTAATAAAGTAAAGCTTTTATACAAGTTTTTCAATTATTATCTCTGCTTAGAAAAACTTTTTTTCGTAATAAACATCGAAATCTAGAAAGAATTATACGTACTCTCAATTAACGCATTCAATGTTTTCCAACTCTTTTGCTTTAAGAAATTATTAAGTGAAGTGTTTATGCGCAAGCATAATAGTTTAAAACTTATTTTTTATTTACTTAATTATTATTTTTCTTTTTCGGATGCGGAACCCTATATGATCCACCTTCTTTTATCGAAACCCCGAGACAATGAATAAATTTTATCAGTAATTGTGAATAAACGAAAGACTAACGAAAGACTAATTATTTTGAAAATATGTAATGTGTGATCTGATTTTTTAAAAAATTATCTTGAAAATATTTAGCGAATGAATGAAGAATAATTTTTTTTTTATCATTTCGTATTATAAATATAGTATTTAAATTTTGTTTTACGTCAGACAGTTAAATTTACGGTTCTGGAAGTCGTAATTTGATTTTCGTGCAAGCATAATCTGAAAATGAAAGAGCTGAATATGGTTTCCATTAAAATAAAAACGAAAAAGGAAGAAAATAAACGTTGAGAATAGTTATCGTAGAAACATACTTTTTCATTGTAGAATTTCGTTATTTTTATTAGATGCGAAAGACGAATGGAATTTTTCACCATTGCATATTCCTTCATTAGATTGCTTCATAATTCCTTCAATAAATTGCTACTATAAAAAATTGTTTCGAAGTTTCTTTCGTTATAAGCAATTCAATAAAATAATTTCATAAAAATAACACAAATTTTAACTAAGTAATGTATTATTAATTTGACATTTAAAAAATTTAATTACAGGCTCCGAAAATTATAACTATTTTTTTTCTTTTAAATCCTAGTTTTCGAATCTTTCTTACTCTTTCCACGGAAACCTGAAGTTCACCATATGGCCCATATGGAAACCGCTGGTTTAATTTTACACTTCAAAGCAAGATTAATCATTCAAAACCATAAACCCGGCAGTCAATAGTCTAGCTTAATAAACTATAATTAAGTTTCTAGGAAAATAGCTACGGCTATATGGACTGAAAATTGCGTTTAAAAATATTTTCAGAAACATACAAAATCTTTCATCATTTAAGATATTTCGTTAGATCACAAAATAAAAAAAAAATAAAAAAGCTCAGAAACTATACATGCCACAAAAATTATTTATGAATTTTTCCACTGTTGCAAACTGACATTTAACCAGACAAAAAAAAAATTTTTTTTAACTGGAGCATAGTTAAAAAATTTTAATGAAAAAATTATTCAAAATCAAAAATTTTTCGAGCAAACGATTTTATAACTGGCCCACTTTCTAAATCTATATCTACTTTTCAATTTTAAAAAATTTAATTTTCAGTAAAGTTAAAATTGTTTGATTAGAAAAAGATTTTTATAGGGAAATTTAGATTTACTGAAATAATTTTTAAATCTACAGCAATATTACCCAAAATACAGAACTAATTATAGCGTATTTCAAATAGAAAACGAAAATGGCTGTTTTTTCGCAACATCTAAATATTATGTATACATAGGCAACGAAATTCTAAAATACATTGTAAATGGCATAAAATAACTATATATTCTAATGACATGACAGAGAAGAATACCACCAAAAATAACTTTTTTTCTTTTTTTGCTATTTTTTTCCTTTATGTTTTTTTATACAAATTACGCAATGTGACAAAGGATTATTTATTGCTAATTACCAAGTTTTGAAGCAAGCCAGTCGTTTGCAACTATTATTATGTTCCGATTCTTCTAATTAAAATTCTGTTAACGAAGTAAGCAAGGACTGTTGAACTAAAAGTACAAACCTATGCTCCATTAGGATTTGTAGGAATTGATACACAACAACGCCAACACCATTTCAGTTAAATCCACAACTTTTTCAAAAAATTCAGAAGCATACTACCATTTCATGTCTACACAAAATCTATCATTAACTCAAAGACAGATAATCAAAACTAACTGCATTTATTTATTTGTTGCTTTGTTACACATACATATTTCAGCTCGTGTACACGGCTTTGTTAAGATGAAGACCAGCTAGCACAAGAGAGAGAATCACAAAGTGCTACAATGGGATTCAAACCCATCACCTCCATGCAAAAGAAAGTTTGGTTTAACGGTGAAGCGCTCAACCAAGGAACTTTTTGGAATAGTGCTTGTCTCAAAGTGGATTGATAGTAAGACGTGATTCCCAGTAGATCACCGAATTCAAGCATCATGGATTGCAGTCAGTGAGCGGATGGGTGACCACTTTGATCAGGGTGAGCAAAGGCCGAGTGTGTGTGGTAGTCCTCGTTAAGCTGTTCTAGAGTAAGTTGATCGATTTTGCTTTTAGGTGGTCAGGCAAACGGAACGGAGGGGCCTGAAGAGGTTTAAAATTGTGATGGCATGTTTTCGGATCATCCGATTAACGATCAGTCCACTGCGGGACCCCCCTTTAAACATAATCGATAGTTGAGAGCACAATATGCCGATTAATGAATAAAAAGGAACATAAACAACTGTGCTTGGGGACCTCCCTGACCTGCCGAGAGGTTTCGCCGACCAAACGCAATGTGAAGTGTGAAGGTACGGTTCAAATCACGTTGTTACCCTGATTGTAACTTCGTGCTGTCCTTTTCTGCATTGTGCTATCTGTTCTTCTACTTGACAAGGGCTTATACGCCTTAATTGAACACACAAGCCTGCCAATATATATTGTAGCAAACAATAAATATATGTCCCCGCTTGCCAGCGATTTTAGCATACAAACACTTTATTGAAACTCAAACTTCATCAATTAATGCGTCAGTTGGAACACTGTACACGCATTATAGTAAGGTGATCGAAAGACTAAAGTCACGTACTAAGACAGAGAATGTAAAGGTTTTTGGTTCGAGTTGCTAATGCCCGTCAGTTAATGATCTTAGTCTCTATTCTCAAAATTGTGATGGCATGTCTTCGAGTCATCCTCAGGGATATTACCCAGACCATTGCCAATAGCTCATTGTGCAATTCTAAATTCTTGTTCAGTTTCAAAATACCGACCTTCGTAGTCTCTAGTCTATGCAGAAGTAAATAAATGAATGAATAAAAAATTAAATTAAATTGCGAGTGATTAAATGATGACCATACGACTTCCTTTAACCTTTACAGCATACAATTCTATCAATTTCTTTAAAAAAAAAATTTAAGAAATCTGTCCCAGACACATTTTTGAACTATTCGTTGCTTCAGGTTCCAAAATTCGTCAAGCAAAATTAACGCTATTAAGTTTTGATAATAAATTTGCTGATGATTCAATTAACTTTATTGAAGCACATTGAAAATAATTTTTTTAACAAAAAACAGGTATTTATTTTGTTCTAAAAATAATAATGCAAACATTCTACACACTATCATAGTCGTTCAGCCAACCAAACAGCGCCTATACATCCAGCTTTTATTGTTTGTGATAAGTATTTATAAAATGGCGCTTTTAACGCATCATGGGCAAGTCCAGTATCGTGATGATGCACTTCATCATCTCGAAACTTCTTTATGGTATCCAATAGTTCTTTATTCTGAACAGGATCGTCTGCCATGAGATCTCGGATTTGATTATTGTAATGGTTGGCGATTACTTCTTCCACTGCAACAGTGCAGGCCATCGCAGCTTCCTTTCCCAAAAGAGCTGTCCCTGGAATAAAAAAATTACTTCGATAGATTGAAAAAGAAAAAAAAGTGCCCTTATTAGTAACGCAAATGTAGAAATATAATAGTCTAGAACAGCAGTTTCCAATTTTTTTCCTCCGGCTATGGAACCGTAAATGATCGATGTTCTTTTGGCGGTACCAGAGGCGTATCTATAGTTAACAGCAACCGAGGATAAATTGAATTTTTGCACCCATTACAATATGGTGTACGGTTAAATGGAGGTTTTCGAGAATATTTTAAGTTTTAGATAATATAACAACCTAAATTAACAGCATTAGGGCCGGGATAGCTTGGTTGGTAGGGCGCTGGACTCACTATCGTGAGAACGGGAGTTCGAATCTAGCCGGCCGAAGACTCCCCGTGTAGTAAATGGTGACTGGTGCACGTTAAATCTGTCAGGTCATCCATTAAGTTCTCCAGGCTTCCATAACAAATTATACCTCTGGGGGTACTGGATTGGAGATAGATCGTTCTCTAGTTCAGGTCAAAATCACGATCTATATATGAATGAATGGGTCGGTCCTATGAACGGGTGTGATGTATGGGTATGGCAGAAATCGAATTCTTGGCAATAGATGGCGTCAGATGGCAGAAGATTTTGCAACTTTATATAAGTATTTTTAAGATAACATAACAGGATAATTTCATAAATTTTCATTCCATTCGGTTAAAGAACAATTTATGTTATTAATGTAGTTTCTATAACATTAAAATGTTTTTGATCGCTTTTATTATTCTAATTAAATGATAAATGTTTTTTTTTCCATTTCCTAAAGACGTTTTTCATTCAAAATACGTTTATTAACGACGGTGTCGAATTACTTACATTGCAAAAAACAAAGTACAATATTAATAGACATTCTGTTCCATTTTCAAGTAAATCTAATAAACATTTAAAGAAATTGTGGGGCCCGCATTAGCAAATAAAAATAACGATATTTTAACGAGAAAAGCATTTTACTCCTGAATTCCATTTTAATTATTTTTCATGAATTTGGAATCCCTTTACGGCGCCCCCCCCCCCAACTAACTACGCTAGTGAGCGGAACTCAGGCTTCAAAAAAAAAAAGTTTATCAGCAATCGGGTATCAGCTACTCGAAAAGAACAGCGCTGAAAATAACTGGTTGTGTATAAACAAGAAGGCGTGTTAACGTTTTAACTATTAGGCTTGGTTTATTATAAAGCTGAAACAATTTTCGGATGAGATTTGATTACCTGTAAGCGACATCACGCGTGGGTGTCGAACTTGATTGGCTGCTAATGCCACGACTCCGTTGCCGATCAGGTTTGACACCGACACGTTACGTCATTCACAGGCACCCTATGCAATTATAAACGTATTAACCAAAGAAAAACTAGTAATTATTTTGAAAATATTTAATGTAACATGACATTTTTCTCTTCTTTCTATTAATAATAGTCTTAAAATTAGATTTAGTCGGACAGTTTGAATTTGTAGGTTAGGAGCGGCTTCTAGTCTACTTTGGAATAGTTTATTTATTTTTGATGTATGCATAAGCTGAAATAATAAGTAGATTTCGTTGAAGTAAAAACGTTAAGGAACGTTATTGATGTTTCTGTTTTATAGAATATGGTAATTTCATTCCGAACTGAAAAGTTGGATGAGAAATACTAAGGCAAATTTTTATAATTTATATTCACAGATGAAATTTGTTTAATACATTTGTTTCAAAAAAAGATCTCGGTATTTTTTAAAAATATTTCTGTTTCTTTTTCTACAGGTATTTAATTAAAATAATTTCAGAAAAACAACAGAAATATTAAATAATGGATTACTAATTGGGTATAAATATGATTATAAGTATCGAAAATCATTACAGGTTTCAACAAAAAAAATCTAACTTTTGGAAACCTTTCCATGGAACTCTACGTTTACGCGGATCACCATTTAGAAACTGCTGAGTTAGAGATTGAATTGAGATATTTTGTGTCAAAGGTTTGTATAATATTTCCGATTTCAAAAGAAACATTCATAGATTCACTCAAGAAACTTTCTTGACTAAGTTAAAAATGCACAAATTCACTTCATAAACTTTATCGACGAAGTCAAAAGTGTACAGATTCACTCCAGAAACTTTATCGACGAAGTCAAAAGTGTACAGATTCACTCCAGAAACTTATTAATGAATTTAAAAATTTACAGATTTACTCCAGAAACTTTATAGACTAAGTCAAAAGTGCACAGATTCACTCCAGATAGTTTATCGACGGAGTCAAAAGTGAACAGAATCATTCCAAGAAATTTATCGACGTAGTCGAAACGTACAGATTCACGTCAGAAACTTTGTTTCATGTTTCCATTCACAGAAATTTTTTGACGCATCTAACTTTCATAAATATCATTTTATAAATATCATATATGTGGCCAAAATTAAGGTTCCTCTTCAGACAGAAAAAGGATTTATCTTTCGATATGTTAACTTACGGAATTGTCCGGAATACCTTTATTTATTTAGTAACTAATATCTTTTTAATGATTTTTGTCTCCTTTTATTCATTAAACCGAATTTTAATTCGGTCATAAAATATATAGGTTCGGTATGAAACTATAATTATTCAAAAATATTAATTGATAGTTACTGAATAAGTAAACAAATTCCAGGTATTTCCATTCCCGAAGGCTAACATGAAGGAAGCTCTCTTTTCCTTTGACGGGAAACCTTAACAGGGTGCTACACCACGGTTGAAATATATCATGGTAAATTTTGTTTTACCTTCATTGATAATTTAAAAAAGCGAGTTCAGGTTAACCTAGAATAAACCATGAAGTTTTAAATGCTAATTTTTGCTTTTTCAAAATATTAAAATGCAAACAAATTAAGGCAGGATTACGGCAATAATCCTGCAATAATTTGATTGCATTTTTATTTTTTTCTTGAAAACATTTTTTCAGCATTTGAAACTTTATGGTTTACTCCAGGTTTACCTGAACTACCTTTTCTCTGAGGTTTCAAATACAGATGGAGGTGAAACTGAATTGCCATGAAAAGTTTTTCTAGTGGCGCAGCGTCCACTTAAAAAATAATCCTCACCTGCACCAAGGACAAATCCAGCTACATTCCAAATAGGCAAAAGTAAAGACGGTCTGGCTCTGTATTTGGGCAATAATTCTTCAAATTTTTGTAAATGCTCCTTCTCTTGCTCCCACATTTCCTTAATCACAGGACCAACATTTGTGTTACCCAATACTGCCATTTGTCCAGCATATATTCTATCAGCTCCAAATTCTCCAGCATGGTCAACTCTCAAAATTCTATCTTGAAGAGTTCGACGTCTGTAGGCGTTGGTTTCTTGATAGGCTCTGGTTGCTAATCCTCTTCTAAGTACACAATAAGTGGTCATAGGAATCGCAGTCATACCTATTGATTGACCTAAGAGAATGGAAAAAATTCTAAATAAAAAGTTCGTTAAGGCATTATATTTTATACATTGTAATAAACTATTTAGATTTAAAACATAAAATGTGAATGAAGTTAGTTCAATAGTTTCCGAGAAATTAAAACTAAAATATAAGATTGCTTTGAGTTTTTGCTCGTCAGAAACTCAAAGTATTCGCTTATTTTAATTTCTCTGAAACTATACAATCAATTTCATTCCAATTTTAATCTCTGTGATTAAAAACGTCATTTAAGATGATGTACAATTTTTTATACTCTTAAATTTAAATTTAAGTAATTAAAAATACTAAATAATTATTAATTTTTTTCTTTATTTATGTAATTCACCTAAATAAATACGTTAACAATATTGTATATGGTAATTGAGACAATATCTTCTAGATTGTGGCTGCCTTTCCGTACCTGGGTGGATAAAAAAATGGATGTTAGACTACTTTTCGCGTATGATTTTGTACTTTAATTATCAGTTGATTTTTCTCCTCAAACGTTAAAAATTGCATCTGATTCTGAGTACATAAAAATCCAATCATTAAGTCAAAAGTTAGAGTGTGTCGTTTTTTCATTTGAGCACTGTTAGATACTAGCAATTTGCTGGTGAGAATAAATGTTACTCAAATTTCCATAATTTATATTTACTGGGATTATTATTAAGCTTTTATAACAGTAAAATAACAATATTAAAAACACTAAAAACACATTTTTCACTAAAAATTTAAGTGTTTTATCTATTCGCAAGTATTTTTTACCACGTTTATATTAACTTGCCTTCGTGTATGTCTGTTCGGGTGGAATTTTGTAATCGATTTTAAACTAACTTCCCGACTAGCTACAGACTTCAAATTTGGCACATAGTTCAAAATTGGATGACAATGCATGAAAATGAAGAGAAAAAAAACATACAAAGTAAAATAAAATTAAAATTAAAGAAAAATTAATATTTTCGCGATTGTCTTTTGTTGTCGATTCGATTATTTCAAATTAGTGTCACATGTCAGTTGAAAAGTTTTGTGTACAGTGAATGAAAAAATTGAGACATTGGAAGTGAGTTTGAAAAAAAATCAAAATAAAAAATAGTATTTTAAAAAACCACGTTTTTGCAGTGGAGAATAATAATTAAAAAATAAAAATTTGAAAAACGAAAAACGTGGGGCTCATGAAATACATAACAGTACATATATACATTATCTTACTCATACACATGCACAGCCATATCCACATACACATGCATATACACAAACATATTCCACATTCAGATACAATTATAATTACAGATATACATACACATATTCTCATGAGCACACATACACACATTAATAAAACATTACTGTTATGTATTTCATGCGCCCCACGGTTTTCGTTTTTCAAATTTTTATTTTTTAATTATTATTCTCCACTACAAAAACGTGGTTTTTAAAAATATTATTTTTTATTTTGATTTTTTTAATAAATAAAAACGAGTACCAGGCGTTAAATATTATTACGTAATTTAATAATTTTAAATACATAGTAACAAAATATCAACCACATGACAAATGCTTTTCGTATTTCAAACTGAAATTTTAGAACATTTAATTAAATTTTTTAAAGTTTAATTATAATTTTTTGCATTTTGTCACGATTCAGCATGAAAAAATTTCATACACACTATATTAATACTATATTACACACTATCAATATTAAGAAAATTAACAATATCAATCGATGTCCATGAAAAATTCTTTTCATAACCAATTTAATTCTTATTTCCGCGCTAGAGAAAACTATACTTCCAGGCAGGAAGCAGAATTTTTTAACATTTCATATGCATTTCGTATGCAAAATTGAAAGCATGAAAATATGACAATGTAACCACGTAATTCATTCTAACAATAAAATTATTCATTGTGCAGCTTTATTATTTAAACAAACCGACTTTTTTATGGCAACAATGAGAAAGGTTTAATTATTCAAAAGCAATAATCAAAACTTTACTTTCTTTATAACTATTTCCATTTTGACATTGACAAGATCAACTTAATCTTATTAAGCTCTTTTAAAAAAGAAGCGTTTAAAATACTCACTAACAATACGAAGTACATGCAAAATATCTGCATATTCTTTTCCAAATTTAGTTGCCGTTCAACTAAAAACGTTGGACATGCAACTGATCTGTAATAGCTAGACTGAACAACTCTCCCGTATGGCCAAGAAAAGATTAATTTAATATTTTTTTAATGTCCCGATAAGTTGCATCAACATGCTCTGAGGGTTACGCTATGTCTGGATCTTTCCTTGCAGTTGCTTTTTCTGATGTTTTTGGCTTCAAGACAATTAAAAAACAAATGATCGTTTGCATTTTACACGATTTTTGGCGGAAAGACAATTAAAAATCAAATTATTGTCTACATTTTAAGCAGTTTTTGGAAGAACAATTAAAAATCGAATCCTATCCGATGTGGCACCACCTTGTCGTGGTGGATAGGCTTTAAACAAAGAGTGTCACGGAGGCTTCAATAACTTGAAAATAAGAATAAAAAAAATAACATTTATAACACCGTATCTCTTACACAAACACATATATTGAAAGCACGCGCATATTTGACACAAGAACCACAATCCTTTGGGGAACTAGACTGCTACTAAGCTTATATGTCAGAGCAAAAGACACTAGGTTCCTGTGCAATGGGGAATCCATGACAAAGAGATTCCCTGGCCAAAAGGATATCTTGACTCGACAAACATCTCCTTCCAGAATATCATTTAAAGCATTAAAACAAATAATCAAAAATGAAATGTCTGAACTAAATTTTTAATAGAAAGCTTGTTTCCAGCTACAAAACGTTAAATTTTCATCCAGTCTGGATCAAGCTTTCTAACCGTCGGCTTAACCATGGAAGGTTTTCGTGTTTTTTTTTTTTTTTTTTTGTGATTNTTTTTTTTTTTTTTTTTTTTTTTTTTTTTTTTTTTTTTTTTTTTTTTTTTTTTTTGTCGTTGTGAAGCAAATATGCATTAGTTTCGCAGAAAAAGTTTTTCATGAAAGCAAATTTTCCCCTTGTTTGTAGCTTGATCAAAGAATTACTTTATTATTTGAGGGTTCATAATTGCTAGGATACATAGATATTAAGAACAACAAAAACGCTATATTAATCTCTCTTTTTTTTTCAGCATTCGCTATAACATAAAAATTTTATCAAGGAAAACTTTAAGAGGTACTATGGTAGATCCAAATGCTAGTATATGTTTTCCTAGTCTGAAAAAAAAATATATGAGATCCAAATTTCTAAAATTAAGAACTAAATTACTCTTATATAAAACTATTATAAGACCTGTCTTGGGCTTCTGAAACTTGGGCATTGACATCGAAAGACGAGGCGATTGCAATTTTTGAGAGAATGATACTTCGGAATAACTGTTGTGGAAATCAGGTAAATAGCTCATAAAGAAGAAAAACAAACTCAAAGCTGTATTAATTCTTAAGAGAGCCTGATGTTGTCAAGTACATTAAAATACAAAGACTAAAATGGGCCGGGCATTTAATGAGAATGCAGGAAGTCTGAAACTGCAAGAAAATATTTTTATCAAACCTTATGGGAACAAGACAAAGAGGAAGGTGGATAGACAGTGTTAAGAAGGACATCAACACTTTGAAAATAAAAAACTGGAGGACAGTCGCCAAACAAAGGAACAGTTGAGGGAAACTCATAGAGAAGGCATGGGCTCATCCACAGCTGTCGCGGTAGTGAAGAAGAAGACTAAGGTAGATCTCATTGCACGTAAATTATGCTTATAGTTACCGGTACCGGATGATTAAAAATTACTTTCTAATAGTTGAAACGTTTTTTTTTTTTATTTAATATACCGCCATTTTACAAAATCCTTCTAAAATTATCTTCCGTTTACATAAGCTGGGCTAATAACTGCTATTGAAAATTTAAGTAAATCAAATAAACATGAAATTTTTGAATTTTACAAATAGGATATAAGTCCAATTCATAGCAAATGTTTCACGCTAATCATTCGACATCCGAACAATTACCCCAAATATCGTTTAGAAATTTTTTTTAAAATTCGATTTGAAAAAAAAAACGGATATTATAAAACATGTTTTTTTATTTTATTTGAGGGTAAATAAATTTTCTTACACCTATATTTTGTAAAATATTTGTTCGATAGAGAATTATGCAATTTTTTGAATCGTTTTGAATAAATGCCTGAAAAATATTTTGCATAAAATTTTACGTTATATCTATAGCCGGGTAATAAATCCAAATTTTACCGGGTACCCGGGTTCGGCCAAATTTTAAGACTCAGTTCAACTCTATTTTTTACTTTTCCTAGAGTTTTTAATTTCTTAAAAAACTCCGAACAACGTGATTAAAACTAATCATATTTCTACATAAATAACAATAGGGAATACATTTTTTGTTGTAGTTTTACAAATACTTGATCTTGCCGAATTTGGATGGGGGAATTTCAAATCTGAAATTAGTTTTGCTCCTAAAGCTACAGATATCTTTTGTTGTTTTAAGTGACATTTTTAGTCTATTTTTTGTCGAAATGTACACGCTTACGAACATACAACACGGGGTCACCTAAAACTTTCGACTAACTATGAGAGTTAGGACTCAACATCAGGGTTAAAATTGCATAGGAGCCAATGCCTGGAAATGTCATCGTACGTGGTTAGGGGCACACTGTTCGGAAGCACACGAAGAAACAGATCATAATAGGAAAGCGCTCCTAGCAGCGTATAACTACATTTCCGAGCATAGGTTCCAATGCAATTATGCTGTAATTCCTCAAGAAGTTTGTACAACATCTATGAGACCCAAAAATACATATAACGTATTTAAACCTGTACATTTCGAGAAAAATAGACGAAAAATGTCATTAAAAAAAACTGTAGCTGGGAGAGTGAAATCAATTGCAGATTTGAAATTAACAGCATGAAAATATCTAAGATTTGTTTTTAAAAAAATCGTTCCTCAGTGTAA